GACCATCTCACTGCCCACCTCTTCGCCGGCCGGAGGGATCGGCCATTTTAGGGATCCCCCCAGGGATTGTGGCACCCACAGAGCAGGCGAGGAGCCTCCTGGTTCCCTGGGGACAGGTGGCATTTCCAGCCTGGGTGTCCTGGGTGGCCACAGGGACCTGGGGCTTGGGGCACAGGGAAGGCTGGGCAGGGATGGGGGGGAGCCAAATGGGGGTGTCCCCCCCACATCTCTGATCGGGGTTGGGTGTCTGGCTGAGAGCGGAGCCGTGGGGCAGCCATGGGGCAGGGAGCACCTCCGGGGCCGGGAGAAGCCGCCGGTGCTGAGCCGAGGAGGCACCGAGCACCGGGAGAACGTGGCACCGTGACAAGTGTCCCGGTGCCAGGAGGTTCCCAGCCTGCGGGGAACGAGACCGCAGGCACAACCAGGGTGCAGCTCGCAGCGGGACGGGGTGCACCCAGGGGTGGGTGCTGGGTGTCCCTTGGGGAGCTGCCGTGCCCCGGGTGGCTCATTGTGGCCGTTTGCCCATCCTGGGGTGCTGGGAGAAACTGGGCAGGCAGGTCATTGCCCGCATACGTCACGGTGCTCATCCCTGGCAGCACACGGGACCCATCTCACCACACGTTGGCACCACCCAAAGGACCCATCTCAGCACCCACCATCTCTGCTTGGCCCTGCTGGACCCATCACAGGACCCATCATCTGCACTTGGCCTTGAGAGACCCATCCTGCCACCAGTCATCTCTGGCCCTGCTGGACTCATCTTGGCATCCATAATCCCTCCTTGGTCCTCCTGGACCCATCTTGGTGTCCATCATCTCCTCCTGGTCCTGCTGGACGCACCGTGGCACCCATCATCACCTCCCGGTCCTGCCCAACTCATCATGGCACCTGTCATGCCCTCCTGGGCCCATCTTGGCACTCATTATCTCCCCCTGCTTCTCCTGGACCCATTTTGGTGCCCATCATCTCCTCCTGGTCCTGCCCAACTCATCTTGGTGCCCGTCATCTCTGCTTGGCCCTGCTGGACCCGTCTTGGTGCTCATCATCTCCTCCTGGTCCTGCCCAACCCATCTTGGCATCTATCATGTCCTTCTGGTCCTGCTGGAAGGAGCTCATCATGTCCCGGTTCTCCTGGAACCATCTTGATGTCCAGCATCTCTGCTTGGTCCTCCACAGAACATCTTGGTACCCGTCATCTATTCCTGCTCATGCAAGACCCATCTTGGTGCCCGTCATCTTCTCCTGCTTCTCCTGGACCCATCTTGGCATCCATCATCTTCTTCTGCCCTTGCTGGACCTGTGTTGCTGCCCATCATCTTTGTTTGACCCTGCTGGACACATGTTGACATCTGTCATGTCCTCCTGGACCCACCTTGGAGCCCATCATCTCCTCCTGGTCCTGTGCAAACCATCTTGGCACCCATTGGCTCTGCTGGACACATCCTGGACCTTCATGTCCTGGTCCTGCCCAACCCATCTTGGTGACCGTCATCTCTGCTCGGCCCTGCTGGACACATCTCGGCACCCATCATCTCCTCCAGGTTCTGCCCAACACATCTTGGCACCCATCATCTCCAGCTTTTCCTCCACCCATCTTGGTGCCTCTTGTCTCCTCCTGGTCCTACCCAACCAATCTTGGTGCCCATCCTCTTAGCACCCATCATCTCCTCCTGCTTCTCCTGAACCCATCATGGCACCTGTCATCTTCTCCACGTCCTGCCCAACCCATCTTGGTGACCATGATCTTCTCCTGGCCCCGCCCAACCCATCTTGGTGACCATGATCTTCTCCTGGCCCTGCCCAACCCATCTTGGTGACCATGATCTTCTCCTGGTCCTGCCTGACCCATCTTGGCACCCATCATCATCTCCTGCCCAGCCCATCTTGGTGCCCATCATCATCTTCTGGTTCTCCTGGACCCATCTTGGTTCCCATCAACTCCTGGTCCTGCCTAACGCATCTTGGTGCCCATCATCTCTTTCAGGTCTTGCCCAACCCACCTTGGTGCCCATCATCATCATCTTCTGGTTCTCCTGGACCCATCTTGGTGCCCATCAACTCCTGGTCCTGCCTAACGCATCTTGGTGCCCATCATCTCCTTCAGTTCCTGCCCAACCCACCTTGGTGCCCATCACCATCATCTGGTTCTTCTGGACCCATCTTGGTGCCCATCATCTTCTCCAGATCTTGCCCAACACACCTTGGTGCCCATCAACTGCAAGTCCTGCCCAACCCA